CCAAATCTTGAAGAAGTCAATGAAACCAGCTGCTGGGAGTTCTGAGATTTACTTCGGACAAAAATCGTTGACGAAAGAAAATCCTGTAGATCTAAATAAAGTCATTGTTTCTTCCTGGTCCCATGGATCATATTTTGGATATCGAACAGCATCGATAATGTAACGATGGCATCACAGAGTGTTAAAAACATTTGCAAAGTCGAAATCGTCCTGCCGATTCCAATAGAGGATGTCCACTCCAGTGACTACACCCTCCACCCCTCCATGGACTTGAATGGTTCGTTTCAGGTTCCTCAATACTTACAAGGTCAAGCAGCAATCCCCCTGAAAGTCTCCGGCAAATTGAAACCATATTATTCAGCTCTTAAAAGCAATGTAAAGGGAAACATGCAACGATATCCTATTTGGGACCCCTGGCCGCTGTCCCTTGTGTTTCCTCGTTCCAACTGGAACTGTCTAGTCTGAGGACTTCTTGTTCCTCTAGAGAGTCTAATGTGACGTTTGTATTATTTATTTGCCAAAGAATGACACCTTTGCGGTCTTATTGCGGTCTTATAACACTGACACAACAGAGAATACTGCATTCCTCATAACCTGGAACACAGAGAGCTGAAATTTGGGAAGTTAACGGGGGAAGTTCATAGGAATTCAAGAGTTCCTAGTAGCATTGGTTCACTTCCAAATACAGATCGAGATCCTGTACCGATGATAAAGCCTACTATCCATCTTCAGGGACTAAGCGGAGACAGACGATGTTTGAGAAGTAAGTTGTGTGGGGAATTTCAAAGGAAAACAAGAGCTCCTAGTTTTTGTTCACCCTCATCTCTCATAGAGACCCTGTACCGATATGACATAGCCAGCTATCCATCTTTAGGGATTCTATGTACATTTTTCTTGACTTCTCATACCTCTTTCCAACCAAATCATATCGTGTTCTTAGTTATGAATCCTAGTAGTAGCAATGCAGTGTTGCACCAGCCTTAAATCTATGAGGTTTACGTTCTGTCCAATACAACACAAGTCCGAGCCATGCGGGTCTGCAGTTCATGGGGGTCAGTATCATTATCGGAAAACGCTTGCCCCCGGGAGACTCTAAATACATTTCTGCTGTAATTCGAAACACACATCGTCTACAAAGTGCGGAATTATGAATGAGGTCCTTGGGACTAATGCAACGGGACTACCTTCACTACTGGCTATAGTCCAGACTCCAAAGAAATGGCAATAGACCCCCTCGATCATTGACTTCCCGGTGTATGAAATCAAAGAACATCGTCAGCATGACCAAAGAATGGCAAAAAAAGGACAACAAAGCTTACGGCAAAGAATCGTATCGTATGTCAAATTCAAAATGTGTCCAAAGTTTATTACAAGGCATTTTTGTGCATTTGAATGACCTTAGCTATGTTCAACTTCCTGGAGAATCTGCTTAGCGGAAACAGAAAATTCGTAGACGGCTTCTGAAGGCGTTGCTCTTCGAGCGATTGATAGAGTAAAGTATGATAATGATCTATCCGTCAATAACGTTATGCATGTAATATTTTAAACCGATATCGACTGTCCTTAGCCTGAAACTCACGTAAGCATGTCGCAGTGGCAAGTGTGCACGTGGAACTCTACAGGTCCACCGTCCATATTAAGTTTACGACGACAAACATGAAGCAGTAATCAGTATGGAATTCACGGTCCTTGATAGATGTAACGTTACGTCGTTTCTTACAGACGGTTATCAACACGGCAGCATCTGCACAAACGTATCGACCGGACAAGCCGGGGCTGGTAGAAACGAAAATCGATGTACGGTAGGACGATCGAGATCTGTCCCAAAGTACCACGGACTAGATCTACCACTTACGGCTAATGGCGTTCCTGGGTACTTCCGCAGTGTACGGTATTGATCCGCAGTCTTACAGCAGATGGACAGGAAATCTGGGCGATACGTTAGAGAAGAGTACTCTACCAGCAGTGGTTTAGGTTTCGGCTTATTTTCGCGTTTTAATAGATTTTCTTTTTTTTTTATTTTTCATTTATTGTTGTTCGCACAAAAATACAAAATACAAAGTGACTGAAGTAGATTAAAAACACTGTGCAGGAGAAGACAGGAATCCTTTTAGGCTTATACTACCTCCTTACCTTTAACCTAACAAATGACAATCACACATTAACTGAAATGCTTCAAATGACAATCAAGGCAAATGACAAGAAAATATTAACAAAATGTAAATAAGTAAACATTAAATAATCAAAAACAAACTTATAGCAAAAAAAAAAAACTAATGGAGAAGCTAAGTATCACTTACTAGTAAATGATTTCTGGACTGATATCGTCAGTACGCCTGCCAAAAAAGAAAGCCTCAAGGGTGGTATTTCTAAAAGATCTAGCAACTGTTTCCTAACATATATTTTGACAGACCGCCCTTTCCGTACTAGTACCGCCGAACCTCTGAACTTCAAGACCAACTCTTCCCCCAGACTACCCACACTTCCCTGCCACACTTCCTTCCTTCCCGACATTCCTGTCACCATGGTAACCGCAGCTCTCGTCTCGGCACGAGCCGTCCAGATGAATGAGACGTTTCAACAACTTGTATCCTGTGAGAAACTCTCACAATAAACTTTTCTCCTGCTGCCTGATTCAATGACTCGTGCTTTGCCTGGACGTCTTTCATCTCCAGAAAGGATAAGTGGGGCAACTTAAACATTTAGACGTTTTGTTAGTAAACAACCAAAGGTTAGAAATACCTAGTAAGGACATATTGGATTCAAGCGATTACAGTTACATTTTTGTAGTGTTTGATTTTGTCTCAATGTCTTCTGGGGATGATTTGGTTTTCACTTTTTCCTTCCAAGCAGTGTTAATTGAAATTCTAAAGTAATTCGATCATCATTAATTAAAAGCTACTGCAATCATTTTGGTACGACATTTTCAGAGCAAAGCGTTCAAAGCATCATTTATTTTCAGGTTCCTTCTCGTTTTTCTGTAGTGTCAAATGACGTTCTTTTGGAGGATTCCCACCACTGAAAACTCGTGGGAAACAATGTGGAGCAACAGGAAAAGGAAAAGCGGCTCCATATTCGATGACCTCGATTCGCTTCGCTTTGCTTTTGGTCTCGAATTCCAGGTCATTGAAGGTCAGACTGTCAGTACAGTGGAGAGGGAGGGGGTGTTGGGACACACTGGTGTTGTATGTATGAGTCCAGAGTGGAAATATTTTGATAACTGTGGAATAAAACTCAACTACCGTCTATCTTTAATACCAAAGCGTTGTTTCGTGATACAAGTACATATGATCATGTGACCAAAAGCCGACGTCTAAGGACAACACTCGTAAAGCAAACAGAACTTAGTAGTATATCCTTGATATGTCTTAGCTTGGAGTTTAGTCTTAATTCTTTTCGAGGACACAAAGTCAAACGTACGCATTATCTACAACAACGAATGGTCAGCACAGCTTATCTAGACAGTTCCTGAGCTTTTCCAAAGCATTTTACTTGTTATTTTTTGTTACCGCACGACCCGATCGGACGATATTAAAGTTACTCCTCTCCAAGCAGAGGTTGGTGGAAAAGATCGTAGTGAGAGAGTGGCGACAGAAAACGTATACTATATGGATATGATAGAAAGCCCTGACATAGAAAGGTTACAGTCTTCTCCACAAATGACCAACCTCTGCTTGGAGAATAGATAAAGCAGCAGCAAACTGCCCAGATGTGAGATGTAACGTTACACACACGCCACGTGTAATCTACAGATAAGGACAGCGATGCTGAGTGATTACACGTCCTTTCCATGATAGATGCAGATCCAGATAATCAGTCACTACAAGCCCCTGATTACAGTGATTGAGAGTTAATCGTCCTCTGAGAATTTCTGGCCGACACAAATTTAGAAAATCAGACAACCCCAAGGGCCTTAGCCTCTCAAATGAAAAAAAAAACCTCACATTTCCTAATGTAAGAGAATGTATAACTTCATTTCCACAAGGATAAAATGAGCATCAACGAAGGAAGAAAAGACGAAAAATAAGTAATTGTTAGCAAAGTTTCTCAATCTATATTTCGAGAGCCCTGCTACGCTCCATCGACGCAGCAAATGAACCGTCCCTGCCGTATCCTTATAAATACTTCCCCAACCCTCGGGAGAATTGAGGTCAAATCAGATAGCACGAAGCCAGCAACATTGAACTGCAAACAAAGCGTGCATTCATCGGTCCACACGACACGCTGCCAAAATCTACCGCTACCGACGCTTCTCTCGCCCACGGTGGTCAAGGTTGAAAGTAAAACTATCTTGTAAGATTGTAAAGATGTCTCACTAGACAGAAGTCAAGCAAAAACTAGTAGCGCATCTGCGTAGCACGAGAACAGGGGGTGTTTGAGAGTACCGTTACATGCTTCTGTATACACGCAATACATGATTCGAATGTTGCCCTGTCCGACTTTCAAAACAACCAAGGCAAAGACTGTGACTGATAAGTACACAAAATAAACAGATAATATCGTTATTTGGTTGTTTTAAAAGCTAGTTATTTGATTGTTGTGTGTTGATGGTCGAGTACCCACGCTCTCTGGGTGGTGCTAACCGTTTTAACACGGCACGAATTCACACCCGAGTGTCATGCAAACGACCGTCAATGGTCACAAGACACTGCGAAACGGGGGTTCGCACATTCACGATTTTCTGGAATAAAAAAGTATGAAAACGCTTTTGAATCGCCCCAGCACGAGGACAAAGGGGCTCCACTCTGTGCCCCCCTTTTGTGGGGTGTTTCCTGGCCCGTTTACGTGCTATCAATATAACATATGACCGGTCAGAGCGGCCCTGGAGCTGAATAATTGGGACCAGAACTCGCGGACCCAGCCCCATCGCGTGGCCCAGATGTGATAGCGAGCCGCCAATATCACGTACGTGTGATAACAAACAAGCAACACGTACGCCTGTGCAGACTAAACACGTTACTCTGATGACAAGGGAAAAACTAGCAACATGACAAACTCACCCAGAAGAGAAAGTTGAATATGAACATCAGATACTTCAGACATCGCATGCAGCCTTCCAATGCCATGGTAGAAGCTCCACACTGGTAGTAGTAGTACTGTAGTAGAAATCCCAACAGTCAGAAATGTGGAACGATGTTGTACGTAGAGAAAATAGACGGCTCTGTGACTCTGTTTCCTCTGGTTGTGGTTCCTCTGACGGTAGACTAACAAAGGCGGCGGTGGCGGAGCTGTGCCCGGAGGTTTGGGAACACGGGTTGACACATGGGACCAAAATAGAGCGCCGGGAGAGGTGAAGTCATGATGCGCAGGGGCCAGGCGGGCCGGGGACCGGTCAGTGTTGGTCAGGGAAGGGAGGAGGAGGAGGCTGGGGGTGGAGTGGTGTCTGGTGATGGTCTTGGAGGTTGTGTGCTAGCCTGGTCATCAAACCTATTTTAGTTGCCGAACGGAGTCTCATTTGTCCTCCGCATTTGCGAAAATATAGGTTTGGTAAGCTTCTCTGGCCGGCTAACTCCCTGGTTTCATTCCTTTATTTCGGTCAATTTCTACTATTTTTCCAGCGATCCGCGGTGCCTGGTAGAGGCTAAAACCCGGCTAGGCCGTGTGGCCTTTCGATATGTGTATTTTGGATAGGTTGGAAATATATTACTCAGTTGTCATTTTCAACGTCATTTTCATCACAATGGCACAGGAATGCATTATATTGGAGTATTTGGTGTACTAGTATCGGTAGCATATTCAATATTTGATATTGTATCATACTAGTAAGTTGGTGTCTTGCTGACGTAACACAAAGACACAGGAGTTGGGTACATTTCGGAACGGACAATTAATTATTAATGTGCAACTAATAAAAGCTTACTGGCAGCGTTGGTCTGATTTAAAGTGTTTGTAGCTCCTTGACAGCATTTGGCAGTCCTAGACGGAATACCTTATACGATTTATCATTGAGCTAAGAGTCATACATATACCTTTCCATCAAGTATGCCCGTAAAGGTGTGCTAAATGTAACATGCACTCATTGCAAGATCAACCTCTTTCTGATTTTCTTTTAAACTTATTTATTCTTGGATGAATTGCTTTCTACTTTGCAATGCCCTCTGATGTCGGACAACATCATTGGCCAAAAAAAGTTTGTACAACTCTTGCGAGACGGAGAACATGCCACTTTGTAGTGAGAGCGACCTCTAGCGAGACGTTGCTAAATTACAACAATTGTCTACACTCAGTCATTAGTGTGTGGCTGCGCGATGAAACCATGTAGCTTTTGTAACATCAGTATCTATGAAAATAGGTTCGCATGCCTTTTGTCTTTGCTGGTATTAATTTTTTAATGTTGAGATGAATAACTTGAGCGCAGAATCCCTTTGGCCGTGTATTTTTTTCATGCTTGACAACAGGTCAACTCGTATATTCCACAGCAAGGACGCAAATCATGCCTAATGTTGCCCCGCGTAGCCTTGATTCTAAACTGTTATGGTTCTCAGGTCCAATACGTAGGCCACACCCAAGGAATCATGTTGTTTAGGGTCTGTAAATTTCCTTGGGGACATGTTGGCCCTGGTAACCTATATAACTAGTATCAAGGACATTCTACTGTGATAGAACGTCCCAGCCAATATAAACTGACCTGGCAACAGTCTGGCACACACTCTACACGTTGCGGAGCCTGTGGAGTACAGTCACGGTCCGGTCAATGTGTGCCAAACTTTTGTCGTTCGCCAGTTGAACCGTGTCTGTAGGGCTGCCCGTGCATGTTAACATCGTGTTGTATATTAGGGTTGTGTTATATAATAGGATTGTGATATACAAAACATTCTATCTATTGAATTTCAATAGATAAAACATCGACGAGTATACTAGTGGTCACTAGTATATGTCGCTGCCTATCCTCGATTGTCAACACCGCCAGGGGATATAGAATAGCAGTGACTAGACCGTGACGTGTCAACACCAGGTGTAGCGTGAAGCTGAACGCATCGCTCGTGTATTTGTTCTTCAGCCCCATATCGTATAATGTCAGCAACCAACGGCATCGGTAACGTTGGGAACGAATGCCAAACAAAAGGTGTGTCGGGAAACAACAAGCTGGTACAGTATTCTCTCGGTGCGAGTTTGTACACTGCGATTGCCTGTATTCCACTTTGTCTTGTGTCTTCACGTTCGCCAAGTTGTATCTGTCTCCTGTGGACGGTTGGACGTTTACCACGAAAGACTGTAGGTACGTGTGAACACTTTGCGGAGATCTGACGAGAACTAATTCTGTGTTTTAAAGAGGGACAGTTTCTCAGCTTTCTGGTTGTACAGGTTAGTCATTAGAACCAACTGCAGAAATCGGAGCTCGCTGTTATCATGGCCTCCTCGGACGATCGACTTGAGAAAGTAAAGGGTGATCTGAAAAGTATATATTTGGCGAAGTTAAATGAAACGAAGGGCGGAAAGGATAAGAAACTGGCAGCATGTAGGGCGATCCACGACCAGTTGAAACCCAGCGAGATTTGTCTATCAGAATTAGACTGGGCCGATTCTGAGAACGTTAAGCCCATAGCCACGCCTGAAAAACACGACGACTCTCTCCAGAAAGAACAGAACTTTGTGAAGAGGTTTGAAACGCCAAGCGGCAAGGATGAGAAAGGGGCAGCTGGTGGGACCCACGAGTCCGACGGTATAAAAGCTAAAGCTAAAAAAGAGCTGTTTCGATCAGCATCCCCAACTCCCCAATCACCAGTGATTAACTTTAAAAGTGGACGTACTAACACAGAACCTCTCAAAGAAGAGTTATATAAGGCTGTTGAAAGTGTTGTAAGAAGCAAGGCTGAAGAAAATATCAAAACCTTTGTCGACAATCATATTAAAAAAAATGAAATGTCAGGCCCGGTATCAGTCTCAGGGAACACCGTGAAGAAAGCAAACTATCGGGAATACATATCATGTAAAGTGATCGAACTGTCTCTAGCTGGACAAGTCGTGTGGGATACTGAGGATGGGAAGGCTGCAAAGGACACGACAGATTTCTGGAAATTTAAGTACAGCGAAAGGAGACTGATTGAAGCAGCACAGCTCCATTCCGAGTCGTGTAAGGCAGAAAATGCACACGTACCTTCTAACGCAAGGGAACTGCTGCCAGTAATGTATTGGAAGGAGAAGGAGGGAGACACTACACCTTGCTATTGGGTGGAGTGGTCAGGTAGGCCTGAAAACGGCAGAGAGCCACCAGAGTGGGCTACTCGCTATTTCGACGAGAGCAAAAACGTTCTGCTGGATAAAGAAATACAGGTGTTTCAAAAACAGAAAGTTAGTGAACCCAACAACCATCCTAACGCGGTGTACATCCTTCTCTATCGTTTTAACGCAGAAGGTGTACCTGAAGAATCCAGAGTACAGGCCTACGCAGGGAGGGCTGAACATGGAGTACACAAGAGATGGCTGAGCCATGCTGGGGCGTCAAAGAATGTCATGGAAAAATATCGTAAGTTAACAACGTTTTGTGCAGAGCCTTTAAAAATAAGCAAATCCCAATACGGGCAGCTTGTTGACGTCATAGTCAGTAGGCTGTACGCACAAGGTGGTAGGGACTATATCACCGAGATGGATGTAAAGTCACATGATAACATCGTCCTCTTTGTTTACCGCGCTTACGGGCCGAACGATGACGGGCGCAATGACGGGCGCAATGACGGGCGCAATGACGGGCGCAATGACGGGCGCAATGACGGGCGCAATGACGACGTAGTCGGGACCGATGGAGAGAGCAATGCGGCAAAGATGATAAACAAAGAAACATGGCTCATAGAGAAGCTGAAGTTGAAGGACATGAAGTATGGGATGAATGGACGCCTGTAACGTGCTTCGCCCGTAGAGCGGAATTTTGACATAACCGGTAAAGCATATGAGGACCTTATGCACAGAAACCTAATTGGGGCAGTCTCTAGAAAAGTTTGGGCAAGCAGTGTTACGACAAACAAGTACTAGTAACATACAGTTATCCCCATAAGATGAACTAGCACGTTTTTTAGTGATGCTTTTCAGTACCAAATAAATGTCATAAATAATCAGAGCTAGTGTTACCCTACATAAAATGTTGACAATTATTTCACATATGCAATAACTACATTTTGTCAAAACAAAGGGCGTCAAAACATCCCGTTTACGTAGTATATAAGAAAGAGGACAAATGTTGTTTGAAAGTAGGGGGAAATTACAATGTGTTGCGGTACATATTACTCTACAATGTGTGTACATATCTGGCATAGTCTAGCGTAGTGAGTGTGTTACTACTAACTCGATCCCACAGTGATAGACGGTACTATTTCCACTTTTACGCATTACTGTACATATCTAAGATACAGTGTTATAGTCATAACCTCACAGGTACGGGGTGTACATGTACAACATTTCTTACCTTCTTTTTACGAGTATTGTACAGAGTTCTAGAGACAGACATCTGTGTCATTAATTCATGTATGTTAAAAAATATCTAATGTGTTTAGAAGATTAACTTGATTTTCAATTGAAACTTAGGGATATCAGAAGGCATAAAACATAGAAAATATGGAGGGAAACGATTATTCTAGACCCATTGGCACCCATTCACAAAGGTCAGATGGACTTAAACAAACTACTTCAGCTGTTGTCATAGCAGAGAAGGGGCAAAATAGGCTTTTACATGATCATCACTGCCGGAAACATTGTATAAGTTGTGAGTTGGGATAGAAATGCATAAGCACTGAGTCTGCCTGACTTGTTGAACTGTATTGTATTGAAGTAACGTGTCATATGTGTCGATACTATGTTAAGACCTGAAATGAACTGTTTAATGATATGGTTTCTGTGATTATTAAAAGTGGTGTTATTCTGTCAAAGACTTGACTGGGGCTCCCTGACTTTATTTACCCAAGTCCAAAGGTTAGAAAGAATGCCATATACAAAGAGAACTGACAGAGTAACTGAACAACGCGCTGTGTTATTTGTACTGTTAGCTTATTTATATTGGCATTGCAAGTGAAGCTGTGTTTTTTATGCTTCTAAAAATTTAAAGGGGTAAGAAATTAAAAACAAGGTGGCACGTTGGGTCGTGTGGATGGTAACAGTAGCTAGTGTTTGGCTCGGAACCGAGAGGTCCCGGGACCAAATCCCAAGCATACTGTCTATGATTAGCGTAACACTCCTACCGGGACCAGACCGGGACGGCCTGTTGCACTGGGCGGGGGGACCTCTTAGAGCCCCCGAAGACACAGGCTGCCTAAATACCCCAACACCCCCAATCACGTAAGACTGGATACCAGGCTAGAGCGGGACCGATATGCTGCTTAGATACAGTGACACGCAGTCACCACAAGGTCTTTTTGAAGGATTGAAATAGAATCAATCCCCACAAATTTAGAATAAAAGTCTACTCTAGTAACGGAAAACCACTGTGTGGTATCAAATGCTGTAGTGACCATCATGACCATCAAATGCTGTAGTGACCATCATGACCATCAAATGCTGTAGTGACCACAGATAACCGTGTCTGTATGGGCAAGGGCATTATACTGGTATCAATCGATCGATGAATCAATCAATTGTAACAGGTACGGCAGGCTCTTGAGAAGTACTAAGTAGTTGTTAAGGAGTTGTATATAATTTAAGACTAAACATGATACATGTATTTCGTGACATTTAAAATACAGTCAAACCTGTCTATAGTGGTCACTCAAGGGACTGGCCAAATTTGACCACTATGGACAGGTGACCACTATAGAGAGATGGCAATTAGTTGAACCCCCCCCCCCCTAAGTGACTCAATTCACAAACATATGAAACCATTCATTGCACAGGTAAGTCTCTTTTTAAATGCAACATTACATGTTATACTTTAATTGTTGGTCTGAAAAATGTTATAAAAAATGGCTTACATGACAATGCACTGGAGCTCTATATAAGTAAAAACTAAACACTACGCTGTTTCACATGAGCGATACAATATATAGGAAAACACGGATTACGTGGTTATGTACAGAAAAATAAAGTTGACATCAGTTGTTTATATATAGTTGCTGCCCGGGCGTGTCAGCATCGTGTATGTTGTAACCACGCAAACTTTGCTCAGTCAACACACAGGTTAGCCACACTAAGGTATGTTGTGAAATAAAACAATCGATAAGACATCAAAGAGTATATCAGACTGCCTATCTCCGTGTATCAACATTACCTAGTTTAGAACAATTTTACATTAGTCGTGTCATCAACATCAGGTGTGTAGTACAAACACTTCGTGTATTATATATTTGTTCTTCTCACCGGTCCCGTATCATAACTTCACTGCATGGCAGTCGTAACATGTTACTTATGATTGACGTGCATTGTTTACAGTAACAAATATACGTCAATCATCGGTAAACTTTGGAACGAATAGATGTCCAAAGGTGTGTCTGGTAGATATTATAAAACAGTTACCCTCTCGGTGAGAAGCTCAGAGTGGTTAGTTCTCACCGGGGAGAGTCCTGTGGCTTCACGTGACTCACGTCCGTTGTGTTTGTCTCCCGTGGACGATCCAACGTTACCTGAAAGACTTGAGGTACGTGTGAACACTTGGCTACTTCGCTGGAGTCTGACGAGAACGAAGTCTACTAAGGGGAGAACTGACCGCAAAGGTCGTCAGCAGGTGTGTATATATAGAGCAACGTTAACCTATTGCCTTGTTGACAAACGCACTCCAGAACCGTTAACGTTCGGTTTTACGAAAGACCTAAGGGGCATACTACATGAGATATTGGACTCGGGTGCACGGCCGGTGTGACAGAGATCTCGCACCCCCAGTGATTTCGCACCCCCCGGAGCGAAATCACTAGCGATCTCGCACCCCCCGGAACGATATCACTAGTGATCTCGCACCCCTTTGGTGATCTTGCACCCCCTCAATCGATTTTATAGGATATAATTTGCATTGTTAATGAGGATATTCTATAAATCTGTTGCATGTCATGATAGGACTATTCAGACTTGTGACATGTGTAATTGGACAGGAGAGGAACATGGCCATATAATATTATGTTAATTGGGGGCTAATTTTCATAATTTATAAGAAAAAGCTATAATTTCATTGTTTTTAACTGCCAGGAATTTGATGTTTGTGGCGTTTGGAGGGTGAGCAAAGCTGAATATCATTAAACATAATTTATTCAAATTAAGACCTCATATGCATAATCTAATATAAATTAAGGTGAACATCAGTTGGCGAAGGTATGAGATCGTGGAACTCTAGTTGTATATAATGCACAAATCCATTTTTGTTTACCTTTCATGTTCTTTTGACTGCAAGGGTACGTTCCTTAGGTTATTGAGGCAATACAACACACCAAATTGAATTACATGTATTCAAATTTTATTTCCATAGAATCTTCCCAACAGTAACAGGAAAAGTAACAGAAGAGCGATCTAATTTAATCGCGTATATGAATAGCATTCACGTGCACAGTACTAGTGTGCTGTACAGTCTCGGCCGTTTTGACGATGGGGGCCTACATTTTGGACACTCTCAGTCTTCCAATTGCATGCTCCTTGCTTCTTTGCCCGAGAGTCCAATGCTAGTACATCTGTAGTGAGACCATTCGGAGCACAGGTTAAACTTTCCGATGCTCTGTGGCCGTCTGCAGTCACAGTAACTGTCTCTACAGTGATTCTCCGTTCTGTCTTCCTTTTCAGGAACTTTGGAAAGGCTGTCAGGTTCTCTGCTTCCAGGCAGGACAACAGTTAAATTTCTGTAATAAAGTTTAACAACAATAACAACAAAACAACTGGCATTGATGTATACTGAACTACAAAACAGCAAACCCAGCATCAAGTGGACTTCTCTCTTTAGGTCACGTGTATAGCATTCACATGCACAGTACTAGTAAGGGGGTGGGGGTGGGTTAGCACTAACTTTATCAACTATATACCGGGCAGACAGAACAATTTTCAAAATGTTTGGCGGGGGGGTGCGAGATCACCGGGGGGTGCGAAAACACTAGTTTGGGGGTGCGAAAACACTAGCTTGGGGGGTGCGAGATCGCTAGCGATGTCGCCCCGGGGGGTTCGAGATCGCTAGTGATCTCGCCCCGGGGGGGTGCAAAATCAGGGGGTGCGAGATCTCCGTCACACCGGCCGCTCCATTGGCAGGGGCAGCAAACACGGTTGGCCCTGTATTGTACATTACAGAAGAAAGCAACCGCCATTGTATAAAGGATAAACGAAAGGGTTGACAGAGTTATCTTATTGTGTAATTCATAACGGAGGGAGGCTTGCTTTCACAATGGCGACTGGTTCCGCAAAGACCATAGATGATAGTAGCCTTCAGAAAATCAAGGGCGATGTTCAATCAGCATACCAACAAATGTTGCTAGTAACGCCAGCCGATGTCGATGTAGACAAGGGAAAGGAAAAGTGTTGGGATTTCTATGACCGGCTGAAACCTAGCCATCCTCGCCCAGACTTTAAGATTAACTTTCTTACTGGAAAGACTAATCCAACAACCCTTGAAGAGGAGTTAAGATTGAGGCTCGTCGTAGAGGCAAGACGGAAAGTGTCCCAGAATGCCATCAAAATCATCAAGAAGTTTGTTTCGACTATTAAAACTGAACCCAAACTCATGACTGGTCAGAAATCCGCAATGGAAGTACTTGAGAAGTTGAAAGCTCCACAGTACATGAAACTCAGACTGATTGAACTGTCCCTTGCCAGACAGATCAGATGGGAGACCGACGACGAGGATCCAGACAGTGGGGGAGACATTACAGCTTTCTCAGGAACAGTAACATATGGCCATAGAAAACTCCTCGAAGCAGACAGGTTATGGCGGCGGCTTAATTCATCGGATGACAAGTCAAAGATTGTCCCAACAACTAGAGCATTGCTGCCAATGATGTATTGGAAGAGGGAGAGCCTCTGGTTCAGAGAAGTAACTTGGACACAGTGGAACCCTTTCCAGCCCAAAAGCAGTAAACTAAAGAAAGAAGACCCTCCGGAATGGGCTCTTAAATATATCAACGCGAAAGAACGAGAGGGTCTCCGCAAGGTTATGCAGCCGTTTCATCACAGTTCTAAACCGTACAAACATCCTAACGCGGTGTACCTGCTTCTGTGTCGCTTTAAAGGAGATGATAAAGTACAGGCGTACGCGGGAAAGGCAACGAACGGAATAGAAGACAGGTGGTTACAGCATGCGGGGGCATCAATACATTTAATAGAAAGCTACCGTGAATTGAAAACTTTCAATAAAGAACCTTTACGTGGTTCACTACTTGTAGACGTTTTAGTCGCTAGACTGTTCGCCGAAGGTGGTGGCAGAGAATATCTCACCCAAACGGCTGACGCAACGCACGACAATATCGCACTCTTTGTTGTCTGCACCAAAACAGAAAAACTGAAGGAGACAGAAAGCGGCCTCATAAGCAGTTTAAACCTAAAGGACATGAAGTGCGGTATGAATGGACACTTGTAATCTTGGTTTGTTATTGAACTGCATGGCTATTGACGTGGCCCGAAATGTACAAGCTTTGGAAGAATTCCTAATGTACATGTACCACTGAGATTCAGAACAGGTCATAAAGTCTTGTAATTTGTAGAGTAACATGTTGCTTTTTTAAATGATACATGGGATATTTGTCCCGAATGCTACCAAGACAGCTGCAATATGTCATAAGTGCACTGACAATCATTTTAGAAGTTGATAACACATATTGTTCATATTAGTAAAATGTAAATACTGTACATGTACTTTTGCTATTTGTACAAGATGAGAATGTACAGAACAAGTGACATGTGGAAACAACGAAAGATTTGCCCTTCCTGTGCTGTGGTCGTGTAGATACTCGAACTGTATACTAGTATGCTGTGTGATTAAAGAGGTAAAACGGAACTGCTTTAAAGCTTCACTTCCAAACAAATCATTTTATTCCAATGATATCGATGGAGTATACGTACACATACAACATAGTAATTCTAGAATTGCTGATCTCTAAGCAGATCTTTAGGTGGTCGCAAAGGCAGTATTAAATTGGCCATCTTTTGGTGTCCGTAAAGACAGTATCAAGTTGGCCAGGCAGTGTCCATTGGCCACCCGATACTGCCTGGACAATGGATACTACCTGGTCAATTTGGCACTGTCTTTGCGGCCACTGAAATACCTGCTTGGAAATTAGTTCCTTCATACAATGAGACGAATCACCTCGCCATTTATCACGTCACAGAAAGCAAACACGAGCAAAGTACATTTAGCAGTGTAAACAGGAAAAGTGACATCTAGCGACCGTACCAAGTACGTCAATTATGGATTTAGGCCCAACAGTACCCAGTACGTGAGGTGAGTACCCCCTAATATAATCTGCAGGATTTTCCTCAACCGCTAGGCGTACCCAAAAGTGTTGTGGACTTGACTAAACGTGATATGTATAAACGATTCTAAACTGTTATTGTTCTCATGGCCAATACGCAGGCCAGACCCAAGGAATCATGTTGTCTAGGGTCTGTAAATTTCCTTGGGGACATGTTGTCCCTGGGGCCGATGAGCTAACCTGTATGGATAACTAGTATCAAGGACATTCTACTGTGATAGAATGAACTGACCTAGCAACAGTCTGGTACGCACTCTACTCTACACTACAGACTACGTTACGTATACAGTGTCAGTGTGTGCCAAACTTTTGTCGTTCGTATATTGACTCGAGAACGTTTTTGAACCGTGTCTGTAGGGCTGTCCGTGCATGTTAACATCGTGTTGTAACCATTGGTCAGTTAGGGTTGTGGTATACAAAACATGAGTTTATGTCGCTGCCTATCCCCGATTGTCAACACCGCCAGGGGATAGAATAGTGATGTATCAACACCAGGTGTAGTGTGAAGCTGAACACCTCGCTCGTGTATTTGTTCTTCAGCCCCATAATATCGTATAATAATTAACGTTAGCTCCTGCCAGGGGCAACAACCAACGTCATCGGTAACGTTGGGAACGAATGTCAAACATAGGTGTGTCGGAAAACACAAGCAGCTACCCTCTCGTTGCGAAGGAAATCTCCGACAGTACCGGGTGGCTCAGCAGGAGAGTCTGACTTGGCTTCACGTTAGTTTTGTCTTTCTCTGTCTCCTGTGGACGGCCTGGTTACCAGCGAAAGACTGGAGGTACGTGTGAACACTTCGCTACCTCGCCGGAGTCTGACGATCGAGACGAGAACTGAATGTGTGTGGCTGTTCAGGGGAAGAGTTGGCTTTCTCCGCTTTCCAGAACTGGGTGTACAGGTTACAGGTTAGACTGTTGTCTGGGTCGTTCCCTGCCAAATACGTAGCAAGACGCCGCTTCATTTTAATGAAGCTAGTATCGGTTGCGCCAAAGTCTGGCTATATATACCGGTAGAACATTACAGAAGCGAACATTCAAATTTGCACGGGCACCACGGGGTAAATTGAAGAAAGAAGAAAGTACGTCTTTGCCGATAAGTGATTAAAGTATCCCTTTAGTCAAATCGGTCATTAGATTAGAACCAACTGCAGATAGAAATCGGAGCTCGCTGTTATCATGGCCACTCCTATTCTGACACCAGACGAATGGCTCCAGAAAGTAAAGGATGAGCTCAAATATATATATTCGAGGAAGTATCAAGAAGCAGAAGGCGGAGTGCATGAGAAAAGAGCAGCGTGTTGGGCGATCCACAGGCAGCTGAAACCCAGTGAGCTTTTTCCATCAGAATTCCCAATGATTGACTTTCAAAATGGACGGGATAACCCAGACACTCTCAAAAAAGAGTTAAAAGTGGCGTTAAAAGGTGAAAGAAAGAACGAGTCTGCTGCTGAAGAAAGTATCAATACTTTTGTCAGGTATTTCGAAGATAATAAAATGTTAGACCCAGTATCAGTGTCCCTGAAGGGAGATCAAGCTCAAACGGGCCAAAAAGATTATCCGCAATACATATCATGTAAAGTGATCGAAATGTCGCTGGCTAGACTAGTCACATGGGAGACTGATTATGAGAATTTCTGGGATCTTGAGTACGAAGAAAGAAGATTGATTGAAGCATCACGTCTCCATTCTTTGTGTAAGAACAATGGTAATGTGCCAGCTGCAGGTAAAGCAGAGGATCTGCTGCCAGTAATGTATTGGTATGATGGATCTTGGGCGTCAAGTACTGAGGAAGGCGAACAAATGTTGGGGGAAGATGGACAGCTTCCGAAATGGGCTACTGACTATATCGAGAAGAGCAAAATCGCTCCGGGTCCTGGCAAAATGCAGCTGTTCGACGACGCCGGTGAGAAACCCAACACACTTCCTTACGCGGTGTACCTCCTTCTCTGCCGCTTTAACGGAAAGGGCGTGCCTAAAGAAGCCAAAGTTCAGGCATACGCAGGGAGGGCTAAAAAGGGAGTAGAGGAGAGATGGGCTCAGCATGCAAGATTGTCAAAGGTCGTCGTGGAAAACTATAGTGAGTTAGAAACATTCAATGCAGAGCCTTTACATGTAAGCCAAAATGCTCCTAAACATTTACTTGTTGACGTCATAGTCAGTAGGCTGTACGCACAAGGTGGTAGGAAGTATATCACCGAAATAGATGTAAAGTCACATGATAACATTGTCCTCTTTGTTTATCGCACTTACGGGACCGAGAAAGAAATGAAAATAGCAGAAACAGACCTCATAGAGAAGCTGAAGTTGAAGGACATGAAGCGTGGGATGAATGGACGCCTGTAACGTGCTTCGCCCGTAGAGCGGAATTTTGACATAACCGGTAAAGCATATGAGGATCTTATGCACAGAAACCCAATTGGGACAGTCTCTAGAAAAGTTTATTAAGGGCCGACTAGCAGTGTTACGACAAATAGACAGTTATCCCCATAATATGAAGTAGCCCCTTTTTTCAGTGAAATGTTTTTCAGTACTAAATAAATGGGATAAATAAATGAGAGCTAGTGTTACCCATACATAAAATGATGACAATTATTTCGCATATGCAATGACTATATTATGTCAAAACAAAGGGCGTCAAAACATCCCGTTTATATAAGAAAGGGGACAAATGATATGCTGTTTGAAAGTAGGGAGGGAATTACAACGTGTTGCTCTACATATTAATCTACAATATTATGTGTGTACATATTAGGCATAGTCTAGCGTAGTTCGATCCCACAGTGATAGACAGTACTTTTTCCACTTCTACGCATTACTGTACATATCTAAGATACAGTGTTATAGTCATAACCTCACAGGAACGGGGTGTACATGTACAACATTTCTTACTTTCTTTTGTACGAGTATTGTACAGAGTTCTAGAGACAGACTTCTGTGTCATCAATTCATGTATGTTATGAAACTATCTAATGCATTTGGAAGATTAACTTGATTTTTAATTGAAACTTAGGGATACCAGAAGGCGTAAAACATAGAAAATTTGGAGGGAAACGATTATTCTAGAACCATTGGCACCGATTCACAAAGGTCAGATGGACATAAGCTACCCCGGCTGTTGTCAGAGCAGAGAAGGGGCAAAATAGGCTTTTACTGCCTGAAAAAATTGTATAAGTTGTGAGTTGGGATAGAAATGCAAAGCACACTGAGTCTACCTGACTTGTTGGAACTGTATTGTATAGGAGTAACGTGTCATCTGTGTCGATACTATGTTAACGTTAAGATATGAAATGAATTGTTTAATGATATGGTTTCTTTGATTAAATGTAGTGTTGTTCTGCCAAAGATTTTATTGAGGCTCCCTGTCTTTATTTACCCTAAGTCCAAAGGTTAGAGAGAATGACTTATACAAAGAGAACTGACAGAGTAACTGAAAAACGCGCTGTTGTTTGTCTTGTTAGCTTATTTCTATTGGCATTGTAAGTGAAGCTGTGTTTTTGTTTTTTCATGCTTCTAAGAATTTAAAGGGGTGGGAAATCAAAAACAAGGTGGCACGTGGGGTCGTGTGGCCGGTAGCAGTAGCGTGTTTGGCTCGGAACCGAGAGGTCCCGGGTTCGAACCCCACTTTGTCCAAATTCTACTGTATGGAAGTTGGTGATTCACTTACAATCACCCGGGCGGGGGCCTGGCGAACCCTCGTTTCGCATTAGCCACACAAACATGCCAGTAATTGCCGACATCATGGGCATTATCGGAAGAACAGAACAGAACGAACCGAAGCGGGACTGATATCCTGCTCAGATACAGTGACACGCAGTCACCACAAGGCCTGTTTGAAGGGTTCAAATAGAATCAATACCCAGAACTTTAGAATAAAAGTCTACTCATATAAAACACTTCATTTTTAAGTGATATGATATATATGAAAATGGCTTACATGACAATGCACTGGAGTTCTATGTAACTAAAAAGTAAGCACTACGGTGTTTTACATAAGGAATACAATATGCAAGAAGCATGGATTACGTGGTTATGTACAGAAAAATAAAGCTGACATCAGTTGTGTGTATAAAGGCGCTGTTCTGGGGATCGGGCGTGTCAGCATGTTGTTGTAACCATGCGAACTTTGCTCAGTCAGCACATAGGTTAGTCAAACTAAGGTAAGTTGGACATGAAAAGGGCGGCAAACTGGTTCACAGAAAACAGGTTGTCATTACACCCGGACAAAACAAAGTCCATGCTCTTTGGTCTCCCCCAGAAACTACGGCATGTCAAAGAGTCAGTATCTGTAACTGACGGGGTAAACAT